ACTTTGTGCACCTTGTTCTCTTTGCGAGAACTCTTATTAGTGAAAACCATCTTTGTGATAATTGTATTTTTCATACTTGTTTGTATCCTATCATCGAGCCTACTAATCATATGAGTTTTCTCACTATATTGCGTATGATATTAGGGAACAAGTATGCTATTTGAATAAGATAATATTTGTTGGGTATGTGATTGTTTGATTGTATGATACTTTCATGTGTCATGTCTAGTTGGAGTATTGTTAGTGTTGGTTGATTATTTAATGAATATCCTAGGGGTTGTATGTAGTTTAATTCTGGTAGCCTTAGAACTCTTGATCCGACCTTATTGTATGTTTTTGTCTGATAAATGCCTTAGGGGAGGAACACATGTTCGACTGACTATCTTATTTTCTGACTACGCATGACTATACATTGGCGATCCTTCAATATTTACAGTAGCTTATGTATGATTGTGGGACAACTGAGAGTCGGTGGTTGTATGATGGCTGAGAGCTGGTAGGGGTATGATGGTAGGGTGCCAATGATTATATATGTAATGTTGATATATACGCTTGATAGGGATGATGGAGGATCGACTATAGTGTTGAGAGCCTTACTTGTACTCATTATATTTATGATGGTAGGGTGCCAATGATTATATATGTAATGTTGATACATACGCTTGATAGGGATGATGGTGGATCGACTATAGTGTTGAGAGCCTTGCTTGTACTCATTATATTTATGATAGAATATGTGGTATACTTGAGAACTCACTAAGCTTTATGCTTAAGTTGTTAAGTTAAATGTTTTTAAGGTTGTTCGTGGGAAGGACGTGATGTGACTGTACATTCACAGCGAAGATTTATTGTTTTTGACTTCCGCTGGTTTGATAAATAAACTATGTTTAAGCTTGTGTTTCCGAAACGAAAGGATAATATAATATATTTTTAGGAATATACTCAAACGTTAAGCGGATTTAAATGGAAATTTGAGTTTAAAATTTGAGACTTTACACTTCTGCCACCACAACTATAAGCATTTTTAAAAATCCAACAAAAAATTCAAGAAAAATATGACGAATGTAATTTTTTAAGGAGGTTTCTAATGTAATTTTAATTTTCAGAGTAAGGTAGTTTTAATTTTATGTATTTATTTTTATTTTCACTAAGGTAATGTTTTATTGATAATTTACTATTATTTTGCTTAGAATATGTTGTGTTTTTTAAATGTTGTATTAAAATAAGTAAAATATAAAAAGATATTAATATATGGAGTGTGGACCGGTTGTTATTTCATAAGTTTAGTAGGGTTATAATAATGATGTAGCATTGATATTTTAGAACTTCTTTTTGTGAACGATACTCTATAGTTTTATTTTTATAAACACTAGTTGTGAGACCAATGTATTACATGAGTTAGTTTAAAAAAAATTAAATATAAAAATCATATTTGAGAAATTTGAATTTATAAGAAAATAAAAAAAAGAATTATTATAATAGAAATATTTTTTATTTTTTAAATTAAACAAATAATCTAACTCTTCTAATAAATGAAACCTAAAAATAACACGTGTCAATTTTTTAGAATATATCTTTGACACGTGACATTTTTCTATGATTTTTTTTCCTTTTTTTTGGTAACAAATCAAATTCATTCAAATTTTGAAAATAAAAAATCATATCCTAATAACATCATTATGTTTATTTTGCTTAACAAATTAATTTATAATTACTTACAATCAACAAGCTTGGTTTTTTTTACATTTATTATTTTTTATCTATATAAAAATTTTAAATATACCGACCGTGGTTTCCACAAGTTATGACCTAGTTTAAATAAATAAAGTAAACTAATGAACTTTAATTTTAAGAATTTTAAAATTAAAAGGTAACTTCATTAATTAAATTGATATACATTTATTGCAATTATTAAATTAAAATATTATATGAAAATTAATAAAATGTAATAACTCAAAAAATGACGCGTGGAAAAAAATGATTCATAATTTTAAATTTAAAATTTCATGCTGAAAGAGTCATCGTACAATGAGTGAGATGGCAAACGGGCAACAAGCTGTGCCGCTAAGCCTTTTTGAATGGTAAAACTAATTCTTTTAAAAACTACATCCGAAGATCTAGAGGATATAACATTACTATGCATTATTCGTTGTATTCTTTTAAGAAGCTCTACCGCATCCGGTGCGAGGAAATCAAACGTATCAAATACAAATGGTATGAACACGTGTTGATTTTCCAGGCACGATCTCTTATGTTTGGTGACTTTGTCTGTGGCTGCTTTTAAAGCAGCATGTCCCGCTGTGAAACCCCCATCCCTCAAACCCACGAGAGGGGATACCCCTTTAAGATCTACACATGCGTGTTTCCCTCCGACCCATCCAAAAATCAGAATGTCAGCCGGTCTGAGGTTTTACCTTCCTTCTGTCTTGTCAGTCAAGAAATCAACATGTGTCTCTTTCTTAGCGGAAACCCCGACACGCTTAAATATATCAAACAAGACATCCCTAACCATATTGTGCCTGTATTTAAACCCCGAGAGTTCTTTACAGTGAACTGCATGCTCCCCAAAAGAGTCAAAACATGCCTTGCGACACACATGACATATCTCGTCAGCTGGGAAAATGGGAATCATGAGTCGATATTTGAGAATAGTACAATACTCCACGGGAGACATGTGTTGGCCAAGCCCATCTATAGGGATAGCAAGAAGAAAATCTTAAGCATGTGGTGCACATAAGCACTGGAAAACCACTTTCTGCCGAGTCGTCATGTCGAAATGCACTTCCATATCTTGGACAATTTTATGAAAGAAGGCACTCGCCAGTGTATTCTGGGATTTTGGGGCGGGGGAGGGGAGGTGTGTCTTTAGTTGTAAACTTGTTAATGTCAAAATCTGGAAACTTGTTGCGAAGGGATGTCAAGGCAAAATCATAATCAAAATCCATGCCATGTATATTGCTATCCCGTAAGATGTGGTCTTGCAATACCCAAGATTGGGCCCTTGAGGCAACAAAAGCATAGGATGAAGCCTCTACTACCGAGTATAAACCCAAACCCCCAAACCTAATAGGTAAGGAAACAATTCGCCTATGTCACCAAAGAAAGGGCCCCACAATAGTTGGACATTTGACACATTGAGATGAGAATGTAACAAATATAAAAAAAAAATAAAAAAAATAAAAAAAAAAAAAAAAACCTTCGTTTAGAGGATTTTCAAAACATCTATATTCCACGACCTTTTTTAAAACGCATCTGGTTGTAAATAAGATCAAGTGATTTTATATTAATAGCAAAATTGAGCGTTGATAACGATGAACATAACTTAGGTGATGTTCATGCATTAGGAATTTTACATGTGTATTTAGAAAATCCATTTTTAAATGTCGTTGACTTTTGGAAGTTTACTCATCGTATTTATATGTATGGTATGGAGACACAGAAGGGCATGGGTCATTCTAATAGCATTAAATATTAAATTTATCTGATTCGAGAAGTCAAAGCCGATCGATGCATAGATCACTAAGAGTACTTAGACCAATTGTGGTGCATGGAACGACAGTATCACGACGGAAAATAGCTGCTGCTTCCTTCTCAACCTCTTTGTTATTCGATGAAACACAAATAAGGGTATATATATATTATTTTTTCTTTTGTTTGTGAGTTATAAAGTGGACGACTGTGATTATTCTTGTATTTATGTATTAGTAACCTCTAAGACGATAGATTGATGAGTTTTACTACAACCTGTTGCAATCATGACTGCAGTTCAAAGAAGGTGTTCAGCAATTTGCCCAAGAGAAGATAGCTCCTCATGCAGACAAAATCGACAAGACGGATTCTTTCCCGGAGGTACTTAGATAAAAAAAAATGATGCATTTTTCTTTATATGTTTCATAAATACTTATAATATGTTGATAATAACTAACTGTTGTATCAAAACTTATGTTGCAGGATGTTAACTTATGGAAAGCAATGGGAGACTTCGATCTTCATGGACTTACCGCTCCAGGTACGTATATCTAGTGTAGTTAGACCTTAAGGTAACAGTGGTCCATTTTATAAATTAATGTAATAAAAATTAAAAAAATAAAAATGAAATTTAACTAACCATTTAAACTAACTCATTAAACTGTTGATATTCATGGCAAAGAAAGAAATTTAAAAAAATTAAAATTTAACTAACCCTTTAAATTAACCAATTAAACTGTTAATATTCATGACAAAGAAAGAACGGTTAAAGAGTAGTGCTAAATGAAGAACTCTAATTAAAAAAAAAAATACAAAACGTCATAAATGGTCATTTTGCTTTTAATTTTTCTCTAAAATGGTTCTTATGAAACATTTTTGCATGGATGGTCCCGGTAGAGCAAACATTGCATGCACATGGTCTCTCTCTCTCTCTCTCTCAAGCATACATATACATAACATCAAACCAAAACCAACATCAAATATGTATCAAAAGGTTTATGAAACATTCACACGATGTCAAAATAAAATCCTATTCACAATTGAAACAAACTGAACTTCCATTTTTGTGTTCCCCAACCTTGTGATGCAGATCCTTTCCGGCGGGGAGGTCGCTACAATTGCAAGTGAACCCAAACTCCAAAAATCGTTAGGCAAATTAATGAGCTGATTATTGTTTAGATCCAAAAATTTAGGCTTTTTGAGTTTGTTAATTGTGTTATCGGTGATCGAACTAGAAATGCCCAAATTAGGAGCATTTAGACCTATCACATCTTCTTGATTGACATCATAGAAAACGACATACCAGGAACAAATAGATGAAGAAAAATTGTAAACATGAGAAATCAAAGAATTTAAAATACTCATTTTTTAAAAGAAATCAGAGATGAAGAACTCATATGTATTGGAAATGGATGTGGCATGTTCTTGTTATTGACCAAAGTTTGATCTGAAGAGCAAAGTTAGAGCAAAACCCATGTTTGGAAAATACGCTTTCAAGACTCCAAGAATGCGCTTCAGTTTATCATCAAGATTACATGCGAACTGAAATTCTGGGAGTTATTATCCATTAGAGCATCCACAATGTATGTTTGGAAAATGAGGTAGCAATGCCTAATTGACATTTAATTGATTAAACTTTACCATTGTGAGATGTCATGTTGACATTCAATGAATATAAAGTTCAATGGTCATTGAACTCTTCAATAGAAAAAAAAACCTTTTAACTATTAAATATATATTCTACTGAACTCTATTGAGTTTAATGCATTGTATGAAAATTAATATAGAGTTGTATAGTAAATAGAATGATGATGTATCAATCTATTAAACTCTAATAAGTTTAATGCATTGTGGATGCCCTTATAGCACATAAGCGCAAGAAAACCCCCCAGAATTACATACTAAATCCTTGTTGTGAACACCCATCAGGTTTGATTTAATTTATGGATACAATTAGTGGTTAGATGGTATAGCGGTGGTCGGTGATGGTTGTAGGAGAAGAGGTCTCCTAGTCACCCTATTTTGGCCCACGCCGCCTTACTTTTGTCACATTAGGATGATTGGAAGAAAGTGCTTGACTAAAAAACTGAGAGATACAGAAGGTGATTTTAATGATCTATTGGCAATTGATCGGGAGGAGACGAGAAGTGCGCATCAGATTTCCATCTTGCAAGTCGTAATTATCGGTAATGTAACTACTTGTTTCGACATCCCCTTCTCTCCCACTACTTTATGTGTTTTATCGCATTTGAACTTAGATTAAAGCCTCTCCTATAAGAATTGCAATTAGTGGTAGGTATCACACTTGAAATTGAACAATGATAGTGATCCTAGGCTTCTTACAGAATCGATGATCCTAGGCTTCTTATAGAATCGATAAACCATTCACGATTTCGACGAGCAACGATAATTATTTTACAATCTCCATCTGTAATTTACAATCATCTTGTTCTTCAGTGTAAGACCTTGTTCCAAAATTTAGAGAGAGAGAGACACACACACAGAAAGAGAGAGAGAGAGACTATTTGTGTGCAAAAAATAAAAGACATTTTCGTTATTTCGCACAGACCAATTGCATGCAATGTTTGCTTCAAAGGACTATCCATACAAAAAAAAAAAAAAATTCAAGGATTATTTTAGGGAAAACATGAATAAGCAAAAAAATCATTTGTAAAATTTTGTAAAAAAAAAAAAGTGTATGTATATATGTTGTGTTCCATATGCAACCTTCACTATATATTATTTACTTTTTTATTTGTTGATAACGGTGTTGGGTCAAATGTAAAACCAATCTTTCTTTTTAATGCATGCAGCGACATATGGAGGACTCGACGTAGGTTATTTGTATCATTGTTTGGCCACAGAGGAGATTAGCCGTGCATCGGCGTCAGTTGGGTTTTCGTATGTTTGTCATTCTAACGTTTGCATTAATCAATTGGTAATTAAAACTATAACTTCATAGTTACGAAATATTATGGTGTATATATATATATATATATATATATATATATATATATATATATATATATATATATATATATATATATATATATATATATATATATATATATATATATATATATATATATATATATATAGGGTTATGTTATATTCTTTCTAGTAATTATTGTGTGCCAGAATGCACAGATCTGTACCATCAGATGAATAGAATCAACAATCATGATATAAGGGTCTATGATATTACAATAGGGTATCATGTATCCTATAATCACACAAATTTTAGCAAAAGGGTATTTTGGTCAATTAACCTATTTTAAAAAAGGAAATTTTCGGATTTTAAGAGATCGTTAATTCCCTTATTTTTAAAAAATCTGAATTTTTTAAATTAATTCTAATTCAAATTTTAATATTACTTTTAATAACATCCGGTTTTATTCTGTCAAAATGATAAAAAAAGTCAACAATAACTAATAAACATATTACGGTTTTATTCTAGCAGAATATTGTTTCATTTAATATATTTTTTATATTAAACATGGTTAAAGAATTATACAACATATTATCAAGAATAACATTTTCTAAAGAATACGGGTTTTATTCTGTAAAAATCACTATTTACATTCATCGGTAAAGAAAAAAACTATAAACAATTATTACAATCATTCTAAAAAAATTATGACTAATAATGATTTAATGATTACATTTATTCTTAAAGATTAAAACTAAAAATGGTTAAAAAAGAAAAAAAAAACCATCAAAATCTAATAAAAACACTACTTTATTCCGAAAAAATATTATTGCTAAGAAACAATTTATAAATTCTGACAGAATACATTCTGTTAGAATACAAATATTGTTCTCCATGTTTTCTTTATTTTCCACATTAATGACAACATTTTCAAAACCTAAATTCATAAGGAAAAACATAATCAACTTTCAAAATATTAAAAATTTTAGTGCATTAAATAGAATTAAACAATTAATCCATATTCCATTCCAACAAAACTGGAATTCATGATTCAAAATCAAAATCAAAAAGCAATTGGATGAAAAGTTCATAAATGATGATTCATTTTAATTAATAAAGTTTGCAAAGTAAATGAGTTACATAGGAGGGTATACCTCCTGTGTTCGGTTTCTTAGAGAATAAAAACTATAAAAAATATTCATATTCCATTGCAACAGAATTAGAATTCTTGATTCCATTCTGATAGAGTTTGAATTCAAAATTCAATTACCGTATGCATTCTATTGGAAAAATATCAAAGTGAAAAATGCATAAATCAGTAGAATAATGGAGATGATATGCAGAATCGATAAACATTCGATAAAAATTCAATCACTAACCATGAATACAATTTGAAGCCATGACATGTTGAGCGATCAATACAGTAATATTTCTCTTTGGCATTTCATTAAACACTTTTAGGGTAACTGTTAATTTGGTCCGAACAAAACCATCCAATTGCACTAAAATCGAAGCACACTGATCAAATCTCAGATAATAGAATATTGTAATCAATAAAGAAAATAAAATATCTGATTGAGTTTTAAATTAACTTTCATTCTGTTTCAACATGTGTTTCCTTTTGATTGACAGTCAATGAATCACCAAAGAAACAACATCCAGTTAACTTATTTCTTCTTCTGAGTATCATGTTCCAATCAAGAACATGGTGTTGTTGTTGACAAATCAATCAAGAAAATCGGACATCACACCTCCATTGCTTCTCCTTCATTTTCCCTGTCAAAACACTAAAACTCAAACACCCAATCAAAACACCCATGGATTTCCTTCAAAACTCAAACCTATATCCCCTTCATTATATCAATTTTCCAGGAAAACCCAAACAACCCAATGATTTCTATTAAACATCAAATAAAATAAAAAAATTTACCTGATTGATGATCGACGATCGGTAAACCAGCCAAACACCCCTTGATCGACGAATGATAACACCCCCTGCGGCCAGTCAAAGACCGGAGACCCTTTCCCTTACTTCCCGTCGATCCTCACTGCCAAACCACCCTCATCGGAGATGCTGTTTGTCACCACCCACGTTATTGGCTGCAAATCCTTCCTCCCTCGTTCTTTCTGTAAATCAACAACCAAACACCCATAGAATCATCGACCACCACCAAGTTCTCTCATCCCCCACTCGTTTTCCTGTCGGGTTTAAGGCTTCAAGGGTGGCTCCCTGCCATAAACCACTGTCTTCTCCATCGTAAATCATCGATTAAAACTTCCACTCCCCTACAAGAAATCCTCGAGAAATTATTTTGAGACGAGATGATTTTGTGATCAACGGCCGACTGATAAAGGTTACAACTGACAATAACAATATTCATAAAAGATAAAGTCGAAAACTTACTTTATTACTTCTACAGCACAAGGATTTAAAATCAAACACTCACTTTTCCTTCTCATTAACCTACATTTTCATGCATTAAACATTCCAAGTTAATTAATACAATTATTAACTTCATTTTTAAGATAGTTACATTTCGAAGATACGAATATTTTCCAACAATTGACAATTTCGTTATTGTGTTCTTGTTCTTGAAGGTGAGGCATGGAAATGTTGCCCAGAAGGAAAGATATTTGCCCAAGGTATATATATATATATATATATATATATATATATATATATATATATATATATATATATATATATATATATATATATATATATATATATATATATACACTTCGTTTAATTTTGATATCGTACATATTTATAGCTCGCTAGATTCTAATTTGTCGATTAGTTTTGTTGTAAAGCTAATCAGCGGGGAAAATGTAGGAGCTCTTTCTATGAGTGAACCAAATGGTACATACATGCATACATATATATTTATTTTGCTGGTCTTTAGATTTCAGATTATGTTAATGCTTCTACAGACTATAATTAACGATGGATGTGTTTATGCATGCATGGTATCAGCTGGCTCAGATCCTGTTGGGATGAAATGTAAAGCTGAACGTGTTGATGGTGGTTATGTTTTAAATGGGAACAAGATGTGGTGCAGCAATGGCGGAATTGCCGACACCCTGGTAAGACTATCTCATAATACTTTTATATAGTTTCCTACTCCTACTTAATTAATTGGTCAAAGTCCAAAACTGATAGAGTTTATTTGATTAGGTGGTTTACGCAAAAACAGATATCTCTGCTGGGTCAAAAGGGATAACAGCTTTTATCGTTGAAAAAGGAACGCCTGGGTATGTACTTCTTATGGTTCATGCATGCATCTCTAAGGGTAGAATACGTTATATTTTCTTGATCTCTCACTAATCTTCTACTTGTTGTGTAATTTACATTCGATATACAGATTCATTGCTGCCCAAAAATTAGATAAACTTGGAATGCGTGGAAGTCCTACGTATGTATTCAGTTTCGGCTACTTTCAATGTCTATCTTCTAAAGATAAATGTAACAATCTTTATCTCATCTTCTGGATCTCAGATACGAGCTAGTTTTTGAAAATTGCTTTGTTCCTACAGAGAATATACTTGGTGAAATAGGAAAAGGTATGTATCATATCATTGCATGAATGCAAAGATAATTTCATCATCTTGTTTTTCTGAATAATTTCTCTCATGAAGCAAAAATCAATAAAAAGAAACCGCTCGTTGATTCTCTTTTGGTTTTCAATTATGCATTCCAGGAGTTTATATCATGATGTCCGGATTAGATTTAGAGAGAATCGTATTCGCAGCTGGACCTATCGGGATCATGCAAGCATGTCTTGATATTGTTCTTCCATATGTCCGCCAACGTGAACAATTCGGACGCCCCATTGGGCAGTTTCAACTTATGGAGGTTCAATCCCTGCATTTTCAGTCGCATTTTTATTATTTAAAAAAACAACACCAAAAGTTGTCGTTTCATTTTTTTTAATTTTTATCTTGTGCTAAAACAGGGGAAGATTGCAGACATGTATGTTGCTTTGCAGTCTTCAAGGTAAAAATGAACAGTTTTTCAACTTCGGAGGTCTTAGCCTCATGGTCATTGTTATTGATATATAGTTTCAATCGTGTTATAGATCATATGTATATTCTGTAGCAACGGATTGTGACAATGGAAAAATCATCACAAAGGTGAAATTTGTAGCTAGCTATGATTAAAATGCATAAATTCAAGCAAAATCATTGTCCATTGATGCATGGGTTTGTAATTAATTCTTATAGGATTGTGCTGGGGCGATACTTGTTGCTGCTGAAAGAGCCACGCAAGTTGCTTTACAGGTTTGTAAATTCAATGAATCCCGATCTCCAATGACTGAATATTTTGGTTATAAAATTGAAATCGCTTTTTTTTTTTTTTTTTTTTTCAGGCGATTCAATGTCTGGGTGGGAATGGGTATATGAATGAGTACCCTACCGGTCGATTTCTTCGTGATGCCAAATTATATGAGATTGCTGCTGGAACAAGTGAGATCAGAAGAATGCTTATAGGCCGCCAACTCTTTAGAGAGCAATGATATTTTCATAAATATCATCACTGAATATTAAATTCAAACGCTTAACATTTGAATAACAACTATTTGGGTTTTACAAGTTTCGTAATTTCATAATTTGGTTGGTATAAACATGGCCACATTCCATTGTAATTTTTACGATTTAATAAATCACTGAAAGAATATGTTTCTAGATTTAACTTTTAAAGTTTTTTTTTTTTTTTTCAAAAAGAACGATTGTAACTACTAAGTTATATATAAGGGTTTTTGGGTAACTATTACGAAACCAGTTTGAAAAAGAAAATCAGTTTGAAAAAGAAAGTCAATTTGAAAAAGAAACCAGTTTGAAAAAGAAATTCAATTTAACCATTAGGAGATATTTTCAGTAAAAACTTTTAAATAAAAAAATAAAGATCATATGAGGTTTTTCAAATTTTATTTTTCTGAACAAGAAGTTTAATTTATTCCTAAGCCTAAACTATCTACTTTAATAAATAAAAGTTTTTTTTACATGTCACACTCTCATTTAATTTGCTAAATATTATTTTGTGGTTATTTTGAATTAATTTTGTTCATATGTTATTTTCTGAGTTTTCTATTTTATTAAATTTCATATAATATTTTAATGTAATAACTGGAATAAATGTAGTAATATATTGATATCAATTTCATTAATGAATTTACCTTTTGATGTAATAATTGCAATAAATGTAATAATATATTTATATCAATTTCATTAATTAACTTACCTTTCACATGTCACATTCTCATTAGTTTTTTTTGTTTATTTACTTAAATTATTTGTTTAAATTTAGAAGATAAAAAATATTTCAATTATAATAATCTTCTACTCTAATAAATGAAAGTTTTTTTTGCCACATATCACACTCTCATTCAATTTTGTCAAATGTCATTATGTGGTTATTTTGAATTAATTTTTTTTTCTACATATCATTTTATGGGTTTTTCTATTTTAATAAATTTCACATAATAATTTAATGTGTCTCACGGTCCCACAAAATTCTTTTTTTAAATATTATTTTCGGACGAGAATTAACTAAAAAAAATAAAAAAATGTGTCTCACGGTCTCACAAAATATAGGTGGTCTCAAATGAACGTAACCCTATATATATATATATATATATATATATATATATATATATATATATATATATATATATATATATATATATATATACTATAGATGACTTGAACCCAATGTTTTTATAAACTGGTTTGAATCGGCCGGTCGAACTGGTTGGATCGAAAACCGGGAGAGGGAGTGGTTCAACTATCACCAGTTTTATGTCGATTTCTGAACTGGATTGAACCGACCGATTTTTTGAAAAAGCCCGGTTGAATCGGTCAAAATAAACCGGTTAAACCGAATAAAACACATGAAAAATAGCTATTTGCATAATAGACTTTAGTAATTTTTTTTCAAAGCTATTTAATTTTCTTTAAATAAAAACATATGATAAATGTTATAAAGTTTTTTGATGTTTTTGTATTCATCTAAAACTATATTTTATTTTGGTATCATACTTTATTTTCTTTTTGATGTATATAAATTGATATAAAACTTATGGTTATGTGTTATTTTAATACATTTGGATTGATCTACAACTTATTTTTATGTGTATTTTTAATATTTGATCTTGTAAACGTCAAATTCATGATTTATATATGTATGTATGTGTAGGAAAAATAATAAAAATGATGAAAACTATAGAAACCGATTAACGCGACGGTCGAACCGGTTGAACCGGAAACCGTTCATCATACCAATTTAACTAAAAAAATCAGTTTTTAAAACATTGTTTGAACCATAATCCCCAAACAATGAGGACAATATATGATACCACTAGGTTAAAAACTCTTTAATATGTTTTACAACATCTAATATCTTTTAAAAAAATATTTGATCATTAATGAAATATTTATTTGAAATATAGTTCATTAAATGCATTTAAAACATGACATTAACATAACAATTTTTTATTTGAAAAAATATTTGAACAAGTATAACTTTTCTCAAACTGGCCGTACGTACATGTTAACCAATAACTTCATATATATATATATATATATATATATATATATATATATATATATATATATATATATATATAATCAATGTATATTTCAACTGAAGTGACTTCAAATATATAAATATGTATTCATCGTTGCAGATGTTCAATTCATAACATGTTTTTGTATCCTTGCAAATTTAAGAGAATGCACGAATCTTCACAAAATTGCTTTTTTTAAAAATCATAATTTTATCATTATCTCTCCCAACCCGCCCACACCTAAACACCCACTTCACCCCTACACACATATATCAACACCCGCACTTACATCTAGAGAGTGTTTGGCTTAACTTTTGAAAAACAAAAAGTCATTTTTGTAAAAGTTGGAAAAATCAAGATACGTGACTTTTCAAAAAGACGTCATTTCCTCTATTGTAAAAGTTGGAAAAGTCAGGATTACCAAACATGACAATAGGTGGTCACGACATGACAATCAACTGAGGTTGACTTTAACGTTGACTCTTGACATTGATTAACTTTTGGATGAGCCTAGGCTTTATGGTGAGTAACACCCCGACTCTCAGGTATTAACTTTACAGCTTTATTTTTCATCTTGAAAGGTCGACTCGACAAGTTGGATGCCCTGACTCGTCGAGTAGGAACTGATTTGGCCGCATAACTTAAGTGACCAACTCGATGAGTCAGAGGACATGACTCGACGAGTTGGAGTTGGAGGATAAAACCCTAATTTCCTGGGTTTTACACTCTATTTAAAGGGTTATTAGCCTCCCTTGGCTTCCCCTCACCGCCCCCTTGAGCTCTAAAACCCTAATTCGTGTGTGCTCTCCATTTTGTGTGATTTTCAAGCTTCGAAGGTGATTTGGAAAAAGAAGACTTGAAGTATAATAGCATTGGAGCATAGAGGAGCTGGTGGATCTGAAGTATAATAGTCGTTTCCTTGACTTTCATCCTTCTAGATCTCTTCCTGGTTAAGATTAGGGCTTTTCTAGCATGTATGTTAACCATTTTCAAGTATGGGCTAGGATTTGAAGTTGCAAATTCAGATATGAACTTATCATGGTCTCTATAAGCATAATCCTTCCCTTTTGAGTTAAACCTTATTATAAGCTTGGATTTGATATTCTAAGCCTTTAGAGTCTTGCATGCACGTAAAGTTTGCAACTTTACATGATCAACCAGCCTTGGGAAGCTTGATCTGCAATATGGAGCTTTGGGGTGGCATAAAAGCATCTGAATGGAGAAAGGACTGAAAGGACTTGACGAGTTCCATGGCTAATTCGGCGAGTCTGATGAAGATTGTCTGCAAGGATTTCTGCATGGACTTGGTGAGTTATCTAGGGTTTTCTCGACACTTGGACATGCATGAACTCGGCAAGTTGCAGGGAAACTCGACGAGTTAACTGGGGGTTTTTACGACTCCTCGAGTTCTGGAAGGACTCGACGAGTCAGTGAGCTGTACTCGACGAGTTGGGTCAACATGGACTGTTAACCTTTTTTTGACCTAGAATTTGACTAAGGATTTACTAGTTGACTTCCGGGGGTATTTTGGTAAATTGGAAATTTATGGAAATGTTCTTATGGTAAATATAGGTGGTGGAGTCCGTGGCTGTGGTTCGAAAGTTTGAGCATATCATTTCGGTTCGAAAGTTGCGAGGTGAGTTATCCTCACTATACTAAGGGGTCGAAGGCACGAATGCTAACCCAATGGACATGATATCCTAGTAGTTGTATTATGTTGAGTATGAGTTAGTTATGGATGCTAGTTATTATGCCAGTTGGTAGATCTGTAGGACTACCTATGTTATTACTTGATTATCTCTATGTGAATTAGTTATGTTATATGTCGACATATTATGTGGGTTGGGTTGAGGTTGTACTGCTCCGTGCGGTAGCCAAAAACCCATAGAGTATTCCAGATATGAGTTGAGGGCCGAGCGTGTAACGACGTAAATTTTCAAATTAAATTTTTCAATAAAAAAACACATTTATCATAGTAATAAAATCTCAAATGTCACAATGTCAAATCATCAAATATCATAATCAAAACTGTATATATCAAAACTCTAGGATCTTCTCAATCATAACTGAATCTCGGATGTGTTTACAATCAAGTCGATGCCTTCCCGTCATCCTGAGAAAAACCTGAAACACATAACACGGTAAGCACGAAACTTAGTGAGTTCCCCAAAAGACCACAGACAGCTCTATATCCACTCGAGGCTATAACATAGTAAGACCCTCCGGTCAATGTGTCTCAGTGGGACCCTCCGGCTCCATAACTCTAATGCACCCTCCGGTCCTAACTCCGTAAGCTCTGAATAATATACATCATAAATTACAAAGAAATAATGCAGGATATCACAATACACAATGTAAGCATATAGTACATCTCAGTCAGGCAAAGATACCACTCATGGTAAGTATAGTGAGAAGACTCACCTCGAAAGCAAGTGAGCCATTAACCTTGCACTCGAATCTCAAACTAGCCTCCGCCTAACACAAAGGATAAATATCTCTAATTAATACTCTTTTCACGACTCTAATAACCGAAAGCTATTCTTTCTCTCTCTAACTCTTGAAGTGGATAAAAGACCATTTAACCCCTCCATGGTCTCCATTACTCATGTTTGACCAAACCCTAAAGTCATTAGAAGTCAAACTTCTCCTCAATGTATAGATGTATGTCCTTAATTCCGGTACTGATAGGGCGACTGGGGAATTCCAATAAAGTAGATCTATAGAAAGTTATTTTTTTGCTTTCTTTCTGTCAGTCATATGTTGCCTCCTCTCCGTGATCGGGAGATCCGACCTGGACTGCAACATATGCAACTCTATTTCTATGCATCTTCTTATTTATGCAAATTCTTTTTGTCTGTTATTCATATGTTGTCTCCTTTGCGTGATATGTTCTTATCTGACCTAGAACACAACATATGCACCATTCTATTTCTTAATCCCTTTATCCAACTAGTTATATGTTTATCCCTCTGAGTGACTGGAAGAGTCGACCTGGGTGTACAACATATGCATTCTAAATATGACTTCCCTCCTAATAATTGTCTGTTCATCTAAAGTAAGGAGTATTCTGGAAGCTCTTGATTAGGGGTGAGCATTTGGA